CTGGGACAGAATCCAGTGCCCCAAATGGGACTAGAACCCCGTGTGCCGGTGCCGCAGATGGAGGATTAGCCTATTGAGCCGTGGCGCCAGCCCAATCTTTCTTTCTTAAGATTTATTTATTTATTTGAAAGGCAGTGATACAGAGAAAAGAGAGAGAGAGATCTTCTATATTGACTCACTGCCCAAATGGCCACAATGGCCAGGGCAGATCCAGGCCAAAGCCAGGAGCCAGAAGCTTTTTCCTGGGGGCCAACTTTCCGCTGCTTTCCCAGGCGTATAAGCAAGGAAATGGGTTGGCGCCTTTATGGGATGGTGGCACTGTAGGAGGCAGAGGCTCAACTTTCTACGCCAGAGCACCAGCCCCTGGAAGCCTTTCTTGACTACTTTGAGTTGATGACTGCTTTTCTTTTTCTTTCTAAGGTATTATGTTCTTATGGTATTAAGCAGATTTTTCTTTAAAACTGTACAACCACAAAAGTGCTTGCTACCTGAGAGCAGCCAGTCTTCCTCCTTTCTGTATCCTACCCATTCAAATGCCTTTCCAGCCCAGTGTTTCCTAAATTATTTTCCTGAGGCAAATTTTCCTCATTTTTTCAGGCCCCTTCCTCCCACGTTAGGAAATCCTGGGCTCACCCAGGATTCCTTTTTGCTGACTCAGGTTTTTTTTTTTTTTTTTTTTTTTTTTTTTTTTTTTTCGCTTTCCCATTAAGCTCTGTGTCTGTGATTTCTGTGGCTTTGTTGTCTACCTGTGGGTCACTGATTGACCGGGCTGATGTCAGCGGCTCGTTCAGTTCCTGAGGAGAGACCAGTGGCGTTTTCACCTCATAATGGCCCCAGTACTGCACGTACCCAGGTGGAAAATACCTGTGGACGGTCGGGCCTGGGTTAATTGGTTTCACCTCAGTCTCAGAGGGGCAGAGTCCTCGCACACATGGACCCTGCTACAAGTGCCTGAACTGGCTTGGCACCAAGGGCAGCAGCAGGCTGAAGAAAGTACTCCCCAAACTCTGCCCCTTTCACCCACCCACACTTCCTGGTCGGCCTCCTGCACCTGCTCCCGCCTAGTGGGATGGAAATGAAATCTTAGTCTACATGTCTGACCTCAATTAATTGTCAATTAATATCGAGGCGTGGCAGATAGATAATGCTTCCCCTTTCATGACAGGTCAAAGATGAAATTCGATTACGCTTTGGAGGGCGCGGTTCGCCTCTTGAAATTCTTTACACACGCCGCGCCGCGTTGCCCCAGGCAGCCTGAGGGTCCTTACTTAACCAGGGGAGGGACACCCTGTCTGCATATATGGAGCAGGAGCTGGCATTGGGCAGTTCAACCAGTTCTGCACAATGAGGAAGAAGCAGAGTAAGGCAGAGGCAGCTCCTGGCTGCGAGCTGAGTAAGTAGCTAGTAAGTAGGCAACAGCCCGGGGAAGCTGCCCGGCTACAGGGACAGCTCCAGCCTGTGCCATTTTGTATTTTGCAGCAGAGATTGCCCAGAGAAAGGTTCTGGTCTAGGGGTCAGCCTTTCTGAAACCCCACAGATGGCGGTGGAGAGACTCTCCGAACTAACGCGTGCCTTTTCTTTTCTCCCCAGGAGAAGTTCCGTACGGAAACCATCCTGAGCCAGGAAGCCGATGGTGTGTGTGTGTGTGTGTGTGTGTGTGTGTGTGTGTGTGTGTGTGTGGTACGCGCGCGCGCTGAGGTGTTTTTTTGTTTTTTTTTTTTTTACTTTGCACTTTACTGGGGTGTTTCTGGACTCTGGTAACTAGTCAAGGTTCTCCCAGCCGTCTTCGCCCGAACAAAGAAGCCAGGGGCGGTGGTTACTGTTGCGGGTGGGGCGGCGAGGACGTTTTTGGGAGCTCCGAACGTCGTTTGCAGGACAGGAAGGTGGTTTGTCCGATTGCTCACGGTGTGGCAGCGCTTCCGAAGCGAACGAAAGCCACCGCGGGCGAGGTGGAGCGGGGCCGCCGGCCGGAACCAGGGAAAAACAAGTCCTTGCAGAGGCCTGGGAGAGAACACCGGATGGGACCGACCCCGCGGCTCTGGCTCGGTATCTGGCAGATACGGTCACGCCGCTCTGGGGACCGGGGACGCGGTCCTGTAGGTGGCCGTACTCTGTGGTCCGGAGCTGTCCCTCACAGACCTCAGGTCCCGAGATGAAAGGGGTTTGCTTATTTTGAGAACTATGGCTGGAAGTTTTGTCTGCTCCCAGGCTTCCCGCAGGGTTGGGGACACCGGAATCCAGGGCTGGGGGGTGCTGAGTGGATCTCTCCGCGCGACAGACCGCGCCGAGCCGAACCGCGCTCCCGCCGGGACCGCGCTGGCCCGGTTCCCGGGCTGACCTCCGGGTGGGCGGGGCCTCGGGCCTCAGCGACTGCCACGCGCCCCGGCTGGCGGGAATCCAGCCAATAGGAATGGGCAGTTGGCATCCGTCGGCCAATCGCGGGGAGACCCGGGGGTTGGCCGGCCAGGCGATGGCCCTCGGGACGTGGAGCCGGCTGCGGCGGCGGCGGCGGCCGGACGGCCCGTGAGGTGATTGCGGAGCTGGTAAGGCGAGAGGCCGGCGGGGTGGGCGTCGGGGCGCTCGGCTTTCTGTAGGCGGGCGAGGGCGGAGCGGGAGGGCTGGAGCACCGGCCAGGGGCGGGTCCCGGGGCCAGCACGGGGCGCCGCGCGGAGCAGCGAGGGGCGGTGCGGGAGCAGAGGGCCGCGTCCGGGGGCTGCGGGGTCGCGGTATTGAAAGCTAGGCTGAGGAAGGCGCCGTTTGCCGGGTACGGCGGCCGTGTGGCCGAGGTCGCTCGCCGCTGCCCCGGGACCTGGGACAGCTGGTCCACCCCACGCTGGCCCTGACGGCACGCGGCTCACGAGGGGGCGCCGAGTGCGTGGACGCCGCGGAGGCGGCGGACGGGCAAGGCCGAAGATTCCAAAAGGCAGCGGGGCTTTGGGCCCTCCCGCGCCCGCCCCTCGTCAAGGGCTGGCGTCAGAGCCCCCGACGTCACGCGTGGAGCGCTCCCGTGGGAGGGCTGGGCGCCCTGCGTCCTCTGTGGACCTGGCCGGGCCCTCCGGCCTCCAGGCTGTTTGTTAGAGACGCGTTGCCCGCGACGCGTAAGGCCAGTGACTACTTGGAAAGCTCTCGCTCTGTGATAGCTTTCATTTCCCCCGAATGCTTGTCCGTCTGACTGCGTTGAAGAGCATCACTGGACTTGAGTTTCCCCCGTGGAAAATGAGTGTTTTCCTCCTGTTCTTGGCTCTCAGTACCGTATGACAGAGTTAAAGAAATGTGACATCTTTTGAAGTGGAAAGCAAAAGCCGTCATCATAAAAAGAGAGGCTAGGCTCCTAGGTACTTTGATTGTAATTTTAGTGCACGTTGGTGAGCATACGGGCGGCTGTGTTTTATGACAGCTTCCATAGCATCGGAGCCCTGACCAATCTGCAGCACTTCTTGGCTGTGTAAACCTTTGAGTATTTTGAATTTTCTTCTTTTGTTCCACATACTGAAAATGGGGATTGATACTATCGATTTTATGGGGTTATTGGTGGTGAGTACTAAGTTATTGATTAAATGCGTAGGACCGTGCCAGTGTGGGGGAGGTTTTTCTTTAACATTACCTCTATATGTCCCACCGCCCCCCCCCCCCCCAGCTTCTAAAGGATTCTGCATGCTTTGCTCAGAATCCCTTGCCTTCTGTTGTCAGTGTACCCTTAGGCCTGTGCTTTTCATCCACATCATTAACTTTGATCTGAGGGTATGGGGTAATTACATGTGACCAGAGTCTTTCTGCCCCCTGCCCATAAGATTGGAAACTATCATTATACTGTGTCATTTTCTGTGTTAGCTCTGTTTGATAAATGAAACCTGAGAACTTCCTTGGCTGTTTCATTGGATCATATTTCATTGACGGTGTAGTTGGTGTGCACCGTTTATTTTGGACCCAGTACCAAAAAGGCCATGGTTGCAGCACACATTCTCAGGTTCCGGAATGGCTGTGGGACTCCAGAGGGGAATTTCCGAGCAGCCTGGCAGCATTTCTTGTTGAGAAATAGGGAAGCATGATAGGAATCTTCATTTACTTCTCTGGCTGGGAATCAGCAGTGGTCCCTGCTAGTACTCACTGAGCTACGGGGCAGCTGTGGTTCAGTTTTGACTCAGTGAAGGTGGGGTGAGAGAATGGTCTCCTCCAATTAGACTTCAGCCCCAAGAGCCTGGGTGGGTGCTGTTGAATGAGACATCTGTATTCCTTGCCTCCTCACCGCGTATATGCAAGGTTTGTTGACAGATTTATGCCACTAGTGTGGGCTTAAAAATCCCCCTCAAATTCTTAGTGCTAACTGGGAGATTCAGTGGAAGACCGTTTTGTCTTTTAATTCTCCTGTTTCTTGCTGTTTTCATGGGTAGCATGATTAGGAATTAATCATAAAGTGAGAAACTGTGAATTTATGACAGAGAACACGGCTTGCAGCAGCAGCAGCATTCTGACGAGATTTGGCTGCAGTGCGGGTGATATGAGTTAATTATTTAGCTCTGGAATAAGACGGCTTAGTACTTCTTTCTCGTGGAAAGTTGAATGTTGACTTGCTGAGGGCAGAGGACAGTGTCTTGGAAACCTCTCGGTTTGTTCTTGAATAAGGAAGCAAGGGAGTAGCTCCTTTAGAGAGAGTGTTTGAGGCAGTATTGAGCCTCCCCAATATTGTTCTCATTATGATCTCTCTGGTTTTAATAAAATATTTTGGAAAAGAAGTCAGAGGCATTTGAATAGGCAGAATTAGGGGAATTAGAAGACCTATATCCTGTTTGTCTCACTCACTAGAAACCATTTATCCTTTTTATAATTAACATTTATTGAACAAGTAACATTAATTGGCTCCTGGAGACACAAAGCTGCATCCAATCATCAGAAATATCCTAGCTAAACAACATATCTATTGTAAAATATATTTTAATGCATTGAGAGTGGAATATAAAACAGTTGTCCAGGAATGACAAAAGCATATTTATCGTTTACTCTTCTCTTTTTTTTTTAAAGATTTATTTATTTATTTATTTGAAAGTCAGAGTTACACAAGGAGAGAAGGAAAAGCAGAGAGCGAGCGAGGTCTTCCATCCTCTGGTTCACTCCTCAATTGGCCGCCATGGCTGGAGCTGAGCCAATCCGAAGCCAGGAGCCAGGAGCTTCTTTTGGGTCTCCCATGTGCAGGGAACCAAGAACTTGGACCATCTTCGACTGCTTTCCCAGGCCATGGCAGAGAGCTGGATCAGAAGTGGAGCAGCTGGGACTCGAACTGGTGCCCACATGGGATGCCAGATTAATTTACTTTTTGCAGCATAAAGTTCAAAGATTCTAGTAAAGACATAGATTGGGGAGTTGGATTTCTCAGCCTTGTCCTTGTGCTTCTTGCTGGTAGGTCATGTTGTCTGCGGCTTTTCTTTGTTTTGGTTTCACCTCTTAGAATCTAGTGTTTGTTAAAACTCTTGGGTAATGAAAAAAGAGGGTTACAAGTTAATTATTGCAATTTTGTTAGGTTCCAAGGAGCAGAAGGAAGTGTGTATGATGCTGGAGAATCTTGTAGTATGTGTGAGCTGCCTTTACATATGTTTTCTTTGCTTTCAGAAGAGAAGAAAAAAAGTACTTAAAATTTTTAATGTTAAACTGCATTTAGAAACTGATATTTATCGTTAGAATAAAAGAATTGGATATACTCTAATGATAAACATTCTTTTTAAAAAAGATTATTTATTTGAGAGAAGAGTTACAGAGAGAGGGAGAGACAGAGGGAAGAAGGAGTCTTCCATCTGCTGGTTCACTTCCCAAATGACTGCAACGGCTGGAGCTGGGCCAGTCCGAAGCCAGGAGCCAGGAGCTTCTTCGGGTCTCCCAAGTGGGTACAGCGGCCCAAGCACTTGGTCCATTCTCCACTGCTTTCTCAGACCATTAGCAGGGACTCAAACCAGTGTCCATATGGGATGGTGGCACCACAAGCTGAGGCTTAACCTACTACGCCACAGCGTGGGCCCCTATTAACATTATATCTGTCAGAGATAAAGCTACTTACCGTAGTGTGAGGGCAAAACATTTTTTTTTTCTGAAGCAAGAGCTATGTATATTCTCGTTTATAGGGGATTTCATTATTCTAGTCGAGATAAGTCTTTGAACTTGTTCACAGAGCTGGGGTTTCAGGATGAAGGTGTCAGGCGAAGGGGCCAGACTGGTCCCCCAAAGGGAAGTGAGCTGCTGTAAAGTTCTAGTTAGGAGGAAGTTCAGAGGAAGCTCATACTGGGAGTTGGGAGGAACAAAAGGCAAGCTTAGTCACTGGCAGGCAGACTTTAGTGACTCCAGCACGTGAGCGGTCGGGGGGTTTGGAAGGTGCTGCAGCCGCTAGAGCGCTGAGCAGAGAAAGGGAAGGGTCCCCTTTGCTGAGTCGCAGTCTCTTCCATTACTGAAGTTCCTGGTTGGCGATGTGTTTTGCTCTAAAATGCTAGTACCTTTAGAAACCTTGGCACATTTCTCTTATCATCTTTGACACCCAGGCAGCTGGTTTCCTTATCAGCTGGACTCCTCCTTCTGATGTCTTACTCCTTCTCCTCTTTTTGCTTCTGAATATTATCTTTCTTCTTCTTTCTTTGTGTATTTCAATGGCAAGTGTTTCTTTCACCTAACAAGAAAGACTCAAAAGCCCACCAGCACATTTGGTGTTCAGCTGGAGTTGTGGCTCTCTGGGAGATGGAGTAAGAGGTCTGTAATTTTGGTTGTTGTTTTGGTATGCAAAGTTAATTAAACGAAGAGCAAGCTGAGCTCCTGTCTCAGTGACCATCGTGACGGGGTTGGGGGAGAGGCCAGTTCGTGTTAAGTGCATTTAGAAGAGCACACTGCTGGCACTTTATGAAGTATGTGTGTTTGTGTGGCTTTTGATTAAAGGCAGATGTCTAATGTTGCCCGCTTAGGTAGAGTGGATTATTTCTGAGGCCTTTTCCTTAAGCTAACACTTACCAGAGAGCCATTTCACGTTTTTTCTTCTGTCATGCTTTAGATACAGTCAGTCTTCATCTTGTCTTTTTTGTATCTTTTCATTTTATAACAGAAAATTCATTTTAATAAGAAAAAATAAGACAGACTTATCCCAAGTGAAAAAACAATTTCAGACTTCTGATCTTATTCCTCAAGAATAACTTGGAAAGCCAATCGGCTTTTCTATGCTGCTGCTTTCTCTTTACCCCCATTGGTAGCAGATTAAGTTTAGAACTAATTGGATAGATATTTTTGATGGAAAGATGTTGCATATTCCTTGACCTAGCAAGGAGAAATGGACAAAGTAATAATATCACATTTTAAAAAAGTGACATAATATTTCTTATTAGAATACATGGGTCCAGAAAACAGGTATCTCTGAGCTGCTTGAATATTTCAGAGAATTACGATGTCTTCCAGTCATCCAAAGGGCAAGAGTTCACCTCCATGAAAAACATCTTGTCCAGCATAGATGTTGGATTAACAGGAATAACTTAGAAGGAAAGTCAAATACTTTAGTCATTTTTTAAAGGATTTATTTGTTCATTTGAAAGGCAGAGTTACAGAGAGGCAGAGGCAGAGAGAGAAAGGTCTTCCGTACGCTGGTTCACACAGTGGCTGAAGCTGATCTGATCAGAAGCTTCTTCCAGTCTTCCACAGAGGAGCCCAAGCACTTGGGCCATCTTCTACTGCTTTCCCAGGCCATAGCAGAGAACTAGATCGGAAGTGGAATAGCTGGGACTTGAACCAGCGCTGATATGGGATGCCTGCACCGCAGGCAGAGACTTTACCTGTTACGCCACAGTGCCAACCCCTAGTGCTTTAGTTTTAAAGTAGGCCTTTTGGAGAAAAGATAAATTTAAAAGGATCTGGAAGTATTTACATTTTCTTTAGGACAAATGTAATCTAAACTCATGATTCCTTGTTATTTTCTAATAAACTGTTGAGTATCACATTTAAAACCTTGATGGAAATTTCTACTTTGTCACTAGCATGTCTCTGGCAATGAGCAGTGACTGAGGAAACCATTTAGAGCTTTAGCTTTAAATATTTTTGCTTATATTTGTTAAATCAGCCATTTCCAGGTAAGCTCTTGTTTGGTTACTTCTGTGTTATTTTCTCCCCCTATTTAATGCTGTCTTTGATTTTATTGAGATGGAGGACATGAGGAAAAAAATGGAGAAGAATTAGAGAGTTGTGTTGAAAATCATTCTAGGGCCAGTGCCATGGTTCACTTGGTTAATCCTCTGCCTGTAGTGCCGGCATCCCATATGGGCACCCGGTTCTAGTCCCGGTTGCTCCTCTTCCACTCCATCTCTCTGCTGTGGCCCGGGAAGGCAATGGAGGATGGCCCAAGTCCTTGGGCCCTGCACCTGCATGGGAGACCAGGAGGAGGCACCTAGCACCTGGCTTCAGATCAGTGCCAGCCGTAGTGGCCATTTGGGGAGTGAACCAACGGAAGGAAGACCTTTCTCTCTGTCTCTCTCTCTCACTGTCTAACTCTGCTTGTCAAGAAAAAAAAAAATTCTAAACCTTACAGTTAATTTTAGGGAGACTTTTTCAGTTCTAATCAGTGAAATGGTTTTTAGTGTTTGCTTTCTGTAGGGGAATTTTATAAGAAATCAGATTGTTTGAAATTCAAACTTTGTTTTTAGCCATAGACAAAAATATTAGAGTTGTATATATTTGTTATACACAATATGATTTTTAAAAATATTTATTTAATTTAATTTGAAAGGCAGAGAGAGATCTTCATGTGCTGGTTTGCTCTCCAAAAGCCCGTAATAACGGAGGCTGGACCTGGCCCAAGCCAGGAGCTCAAACACTGAATCTGGGTCTCCCAGGTAGGTGATAGGGACCCAAGTCCATGAGCCATCATCTGCTGTCTCCCAGGGTGTGCCTTAGTGGGAAGCTGGAACTGAAAGCTGAGTCAAGACTGAAATGAGGCACTCCTGTGTGATGTGCAGCCATCCAAGCAGTGTTTCAACTACTGCAGCAAACACCTACCCCTACCCCCAATGTTTTTTTTTTTATTTATTTTTATTTTTTTTTATTTTTTGACAGGCAGAGTGGACAGTGAGAGAGAGAGACAGAGAGAAAGGTCTTCCTTTGCCGTTGGTTCACCCTCCAATGGCCGCCGCGGCCGGCGCGCTGCGGCCGGCGCACCGCGCTGATCCGATGGCAGGAGCCAGGAGCCAGGTGCTTATCCTGGTCTCCCATGGGGTGCAGGGCCCAAGCACCTGGGCCATCCTCCACTGCACTCCCTGGCCACAGCAGAGAGCTGGCCTGGAAGAGGGGCAACCGGGACAGAATCCGGCGCCCCAACTGGGACTAGAACCCGGTGTGCCGGCGCCGCTAGGCGGAGGATTAGCCTAGTGAGCCGCGGCGCCGGCCCCCCCCAATGTTTTAGTATTTAGTATTTCAAACTATCCAGGAAGCAGTTGTTAAAATAGGTTCGGGCTGTCCTCCAAATTGTTCTAGAGTTCTGTGTTTTTTTTTAATTTAAAGATTTATTTATTTATTTGAAAGACAGAATTAGAGAGAGAGTGATTTTCCATTTGCTGGTTCACTCCCCAAATGGCTGTAATGGTCAGGGCTGGACCAAGCCAAAGCCAGGAACCTGGAACTCCATCCAGGTCTCCCACATGGGTAGAAAGGGACCAAGTACTTGGGCAATCATCTGCTGCTTTCCAAGGTGCATGAGCAGGGAGCTGGATCAGATGTGGAGCGGCCATGACTCAAACCGGTGCCTGTATGGGATGCTAGCGTTGTAGGCTGCAGCTTAACCTGTTGCATTTGTAGCGCCAGCCCCCAGACTTCTTATAAATACTGAGAACATACAGAATTATTATTAATTTGAGTTTAGAATTTATTGTAGCTACTTGGTGTTTTCAACTTTGAATTTTCATATAATTTCAAACTTGTAGGGATGGTGAAAGAATAGTATCAGGAAATAGATAATTTCAAGAGTAATGATAATGGGAAGTAGTAGGTGCCTTGGAGGATGACAGAGAAACACATCTAAACCAAATTTGGCAGGCCAGAAATGCTTCTCTGAGCAGGGGGCTTCTGCTTCTTTGCATCCAGGTGCTTCCAAAGCATACTTTCAGAGCATGGCTATTTGGATACTCAAAGTGGTTATCAATTAGACTTAGGGCAGTAAATGCCTGCCAGTTAGGCAGCTGTAGATCTCTGATTATCCATTGCAGCTTTATCAGAGTTCAACTGGATATCCTTCCAGTGTTTGTTGAGAAGTTAAGTGAATTCATATGACCTTTAACTTAAAAAAATAATAAAATGTGTACATGGTAAAACTTTTATTTCCCCCCTTTTTTTTAATTGAAACGCAGAGAAACAGATCTTCCAGTCACTGGTTCAATCTTCCATATGCCTGCAGTAGCCAGGGTTAGGCCAGAATGAAGCCAGAAGAGTGGAACTCAATTCAGGTTTCCCGCATGGTGGTAAGATTCAAAGCACTGGAGCCATCACCTGCCGTGCCCCAGAGTGTGCATTAGAAGGAAGCTGGTAGAAGTGGACCAAGATTCTAGCTAACTTAGACTCTCCTGTTTGCGGTAGAAGTGGATCAAGATTCTAGCTAACTTAGACTCTCCTGTTTGAGATACTGGCGTCCCAAACAGTGGCTTTACCTGCTGTGCCACAGTGCCTACCCCAGAACTTTTTTTTTTTGAGTGCTAAAAGGTAGACAGGGTATATTCACTGAGAGATCTTCCTTTACCTCTTCTCGTTTGTGCTCTCCATGCCTTCCTTGTCTTAAGGGACTACTGTTACTACACGCTTTGGGCATATCCTTTGCAGAGACTCTGGTATGTGTTCTCCCTCCAAGTTTTTTCATTTTTGCTACATAAATGATAGCATATTGCTCAATAAATTCATTTTTTTCACTTGGCACCATTGTCCCCTATCAGAGTGTATAGATTTGTGTTACTCACAATAGTTACATAGTATTTTCTCCTGTGGTACACAGTTGATTCAGCCAGTCCCTTCTCGATACCCAGGTCTTTTAATAACATAGACAAAACTGGGAAATATCCTGATACATATATCTTTTTTAAAAAAGATATATTTATTGAAAGAGTGACGGGGGAAAGGGAGAGGCGCGGGGGGAGGGATGGGGGGGAGAGGGAGAGAGATAGAAAGAAATAGATCTTCTGTCCTCTGCTTTAGTCTTCCACTGGCTGCAACAACCAGGTCTGGGCCAGACTGAAGCCTGGAGCTCCATCCAGATCTCCCGCATGGGTGGTAGGAACCTAAACTCTTGGGCCATCTTTTGCTGCCTTCCCAGGTACATTAACAGGGAGCTGGAAGCAGAGTAGCAGACTTACCACCTCTTTAATATGGGGTGCTGGTGTCATAGGCCATGGCTTAACTCACCGTGCCCCTGCACAGGTATTGTGTGTTTTTTGTAAGTGGATCAAAGGATATTGTAGACTTGTGATATTTTAGACAGGTAATGCAATGTTATTAGAATTTATGTCTTGTAAAACAGTCTTTCAAAACAACTTTTGATAAGAATGGGATAAAATGTTCCTATTTAACTGAGTGTCAGTTTTTTCTATTGGTTGCTGTTAGATAGGAGGAGTCTTACTCGATTCAAGAGAAGATAATGCTCTATTTTAGTGGGTGAGGTGAAATATCAAAACAGTGTTAAACAGAAATATTAAACTATTGCTGACTTGTTTCTGGTTGCTTGTGTCCTAACTCTGAAATCTTTCCCTTAATGTAATGAAATGATTGAAATGACCTGGCGATGCGGTCCTAGAGAATAGAACTGTCAATATTGACTTGGTGCTTCTGTATGTGTCTAAATTTTCATGGAGTCTGTGTTGTCCAGCACAGCAAACTTAACTGACTATTCCCTGGTCTAGTTTTGTTTTGTAGACACTGCAAACAGTGGGATTTTGATGAGAAAGTTGGAATCTAATATCCATTTTCTTGTTTTTGAGATTTCAGAGAAAGCCAGACTTCTTGTATTTTATCGGCCCTGTGTACATTTGCTTCGGGGATGATCACTTAGAATCACTATTAGAATCACTAATAATTATATACAATTTATTAATATTTATTTTTGTGATAAATGTGTTACTGCTTGCCTTCTCTTTTTTTCTCTTTTCATTTTCATATATGTACTTGAGAGGCAGAAAGAGAAGGAGGGGGGAGAGAGAGAGAAAGAGGGTACAAGTGAGCATGCTCACAACAGCCAGGACTGTACTACTCTCAGGCAGGGCTGTGAGCCCAAAATACCATCTATGGTCTCCCACGTAGGTGATAGAAGCCGTTATTTGAGCCGTCACCACTGCCTCCCAGGGTCTGCATTAGCAGGAACCTAGAGGCGGGATGCTGAAATGGAACCTGGATTCTCTGATATGAGAGGCAAGCATCTTAACAGTTAAGCTAAAGTCCTGCTCCTTTTGTGCAATCCAGTTCAGTCAGGGCCACATTTGGAAATTAGTTATTGTACTGGTAATAATGTTCTCGGAACTGACTGAAGTATCAGGAAGGGCTTTTTGTCTCATACCAAATGCCCTAAGGCTAATTGATGTACTTCCTGAATTTTTCTGATTCTTCAATTGCCAAGTTCCTCTTTTCTTGTGAGAATTTTGTTCCCAGATCTGATCAGTGCTTTTTTTTTTTTTTTTTTTGAAAGGCAGAATTACAGAGAGAGGGAGAGACACAGACAGAGAGGTCTTCCATCTTCTAGTTCACTCCCCAAATGGTGGCAACAGCCAGGGCTGGGCCAGGCTGAAGCCAGGAGCCAGGAGCTTGTTGGTCTCCCACATGGGTACAGGGGCCCAAGCACTTGAGACATCTGCTGCTGCTTTCCTATGTGCATTAACAGGGAGCTGGATCAGAAGTGGAGCAGCTAAGACTCTAACCCATGTCCACATGGGATACCAGTGCTGCAGGTGGCAGCTTAACCTTCTGTACCACAGGCTGGCCCCTGCAGTTTTTTTTCTCTCTCTCTCTCTTCTTCTTCTTCTTTTTTTTAGTTTTTAACAGGTTCAGTATAGTTCATTGATACAATTCTAAGAATACAATGATATTCCCATTCTCCCTCCCTCTCCCTTTGACTGACCTACTTTCTTAATTATTTTTATAGATTATTTATTTGACAGAGAGGGGAAAAAGAGAGATCTTCCAACCATGGTTCATTCCCTAAGTGGATACAATGTCTGGGGCTGGATCAGGAGCCAGAAGCTGCATCCAGGTGTCCCACATGTGTGCAAGAACTCAAATACTTGGGCCATCTCCTGCTGTTTTCCCAGGCACATTAGCAGGGAACTCGATTGAAAGTGAAGCAGCGGGGATAGGAACCAGCACTCATGTGGGATGCTGGCATTGCAAATGGCAGCATAACCCACTGTGCCACAATGGTGGTGCCTGTGCTTTCTTAATTTATTGTGAATTAAGATAACCTGATACCCTGTCTTATTAGAATTATGTATAAAACCAAAATAAAAAGGCTTTGGGAAGCCAAGGGACTGTGTTGTGGTTGGAATCCAAGTGAGCAGTCAGATAAACAAACCCTATTTAGGTGAGGTGCTATTGTCACTAGCCTTTAAGCAGTCGGATTTAGTCAGTGTTATTGGGGTCTGTTGGCCAGTGTTTAGCCAGGCAGAAGAGATGTGGCTAATTGTTACAATACTGTTATTGGTATTTGTTTTCCAAATGCAGGAGGTGGTATTTTTTAAAAGGATTTATTTATTTGAAAGGCAGAGTGACAGTCAGGGGAAGTAGAGAAAGAGACAATGAGAGCTCTTCCATTCACTTGTTTACTCCCCAACACAGTAGCTGGGGTTGAGACAGGCTGAAGCCAGGAGCCAAGAACTCCATCTGGGCCTCCAGCATGGGTGGCAGAGACCCATGCAATTTGGCTATTATCTGCTGCCTGGCATGGGCATTAGCAGGAAACTAGACTAGAAGCAGAGGTGAGACTCGGCCCCAGCCACTGTGGTATCAAATGCGGCCATCTCAGATGGTTTAACTTTTATCACAGAGCCCATGGTTTGTTTTATACCTCGGAAGGTAGGTGATACCTAAAAACCCCTTTGAGGTGTAAATTCTACAATTCTGTAAGATAGTTGTAGCATATGTTTGTAGGTAGAAAGATTCTCCAAAAAAGAAAGTCGAGGAGTGTTGATTTCAGATAGGAGCACCAGGAGGGTGGAAAGTGACTGTTATTTAAGCAATGAATGATGGCCACGGGGAGGCTTTATCACTTTTTCAGTAGGATGGTAACTGTTGGCATTTAAGGGGAAGGGTATCAGTAAATGTTACTTTGTTCTTCCTATCTAAATGTGAAATCAACTGAGAAGATATTCCATAATAAATGGATCAAAATTTCAAAAATTAGCCTTATTGGTGAGGCTGACTGGGGAATGTATGGCCCGATGTCCTCACCAGTATTCTCCTCTTCCCCCCAGTTACACTTAACCCAGCAAGATGCTGGGTATCTGAGTCCTCTCCTGGACCCATCTTGCCCCTTGCAGGTTGCTCCCTGCAGGACCTAGATAAGTGCTGGCGTCAGTAGCTCAGGCCTAGTCTTGCTGGTGTCTCAGCTCTCCCTGAGGGTCCGGGAGGGGCTAGGCCGAGGGAGAGGCACCCAGTTGTCAGAGGGCTGGAGAATGCCACCTGGAATGTGATGACTGAAGTCTCTCCCTCCACCACTAGTATCCTGGTGTAGAGCTTTTTCTCGCCTTTCTAGAAGGTTTGTTAGGCAGAGCAGAGCGTGCTATACATCTTAGGAAATCACGATAGTTGGGATAGTCTGGAGACAGAGACATGCACTGGGTAATATCTCATAGTCTCTCTGTGGGTGCTTCTTACAAAGTATTTGCTTGTGCCACTAAAATGTCTTTTCAGTCTGGTTTTGAAGGCTCACCAACAGAAATATGACTCAGATTTTTCTGTTTTTGGTAAATGTTTTTTCAGTCATATTCTGAAAACTGATTATTTTTTAGGTTATCTAATCCAGTAGAAGAATTGTTCTTTTCACACAGTAAGGGTTCATTTATGCAGAGGAACAAAATGCTGTTTCTGAACTTGTTGGTATGCTCTTGCTCTTATTTTCCTTCCCTTTTCTATTTTACAGAATCCTATTCTAAGAACTCGGGCACTCAACTTTCTACCATGGTGTTGGGTCCTGAACAGAACATGCCAGATGGTAACTTACAGCTCTCTCATTATCTTAGTTTTGATGTGGAATTAGATTTGTGTGACAGAAATTTACCATATTTTCTTTCTTGTCATCTATTCCAACACCGTCATTCAGAAGTCACCATCTGATGACTTAGGCTGTAAATGAAAATGGATTTATAACCACAAAGAACTTCCTTATTTGTAATTCTGAGTCCAGCTTAAGTGAGCCACAAGTTTGCTTTCTAAAGCAGTGATGCCTTTGAGGGCAGTGCTGTTCCCAGACTTGGCCGAAGAACCTCTGGAGTGCAGGGGCTGTTCCTGATACTTTTTCTCTCCCCTCCCCTCCCCTCCCCTTTTTTGCCCTCCCTCCTCCCTCTCTCCCTTCCTTTCTTTCTTATTTTATTTATTTGAAAGGCAGAGATACAGAGAGAGAGAGGTCTTCCATCCGCTGGAAGATCTTCACTCCCCAAATGGTTGCAATGTCAAGATCTGGGCCAGGCCAAAGTCAGGAGTCAGTTGCTTCTTCTGGGTCTCTCATGTTAGTGCAGGAGCCCAAGTACTTGGGCCATCTCCCATGGCTTTCCCAGGGGGATTTGAGAGCAGGATTGGAAGTAGAGAGCTGAGAGTTGAACCGGTGCCCAAATGGGTTGCTGGCACTGAAGGTGGAGGCTTAACCCACACCACAACATAGGCCCCTGATATTTTCTGATGTTTCAGAAATGTTTGGAGCTGTAGTATACAGGGTGAATGTATTATACTTCATATTTTATTGTAACTATCTTGAGTGATTTGACTAATCCTTCCTAAATCTGAGCTTCCCTTTAGAACCTTTCATTCCTTGTCTATAAATTCTGTTAACAAAGAGTTACTTAATTAAGGTGCTGTGGGTCGGCTCCCTATAGAAAAAAAGCTGTCCTCCTCCCCGTGAACTGGAGGTTGTAAGGACTTATTGTAAATACAGGGATCAAAGTAGCCATTTGATGACTGCAGCATACTGGACTTTGTATATTTCTGAAAGATTAGCCCCTCTCACCCAGACCTTTGCCCTCCCTGCATTTAGGATTAGCTGTAAAATGCAGGACTTGGGAGACACTGATAGCAGCCTGAGAAGTGCCCCCTGGTCACGAGGGTGTTGACAGCTCTTCACAGTAGGTCTGAGCCAGGAAGTGAAGGGCTCCAGCTCAGTGGTTTCCCTGAAGCTTCAGATTTCATCCTGAGCTTCCACATTTTTTGAGAGGCCTGAGGGAAGTAATGTCCAAGGACTGTGAGTAAATTCTACCGAATCCTGAGGAAGACATTCTGCTAAACTAACCTAGTTCTTTCTTTTAAAAGTTAGGATTTTAGGTGACCAGTGGGTCTTGTCTGGGAATGTTTTATTTTGTACTCTACTTGTCAGTGTTTTTAGAAGAGGATGAAATAATTCTAAAAATTACCAAATAGAAATAGGGGTGTAGAAGTAGGAAAAGCATCGTTGAATGAGAGTTAAAACTGATCCTGAGCTGAGTGAGAGAGGAAAGGTGAAAGGGGGCTTGTTTAGTGCAAGTTGTTTTGTACTTCTTGGGTTTTTAGCAATGTGAATATATTTCCTATTGAAATAAATTCATTTTAAAATATAGATAAAAATAAATGTTAAAAATAAATTGAACTAGCATCAGGTTCATGTTTTGTGTGTTTAGGTATTAAGAATATGTAGTTTTGGTAAGGAGAAGTTGGCATATTTTGTTCTTTTTTATTAATTTTTCCTCCAATCTGTGAATTCAGACAATGCATCTGGAGACCATGGGGACGCTGCCAGTCTTGGTGTCATCAACTCTGCCTATAGTCACTCCTCTCTTCCGCAGTCCACTGGGCATGCAGGGGAGCCCTTCGCCACTTACTTTGATGAGAAGATCCCAATTCCTGAAGAGCAGGTTAGTGACAGGTCCTTGGAGGAGCACACTGTGGTTTGGGAAAAGCCTGGGAGTGAGAGAGCTGCTGGGGGTCTCAGCTGAACGATGTCAAGTCGTCTCTGAAGCCTGCAGTTCTGTAATCAGAATAAAGAGAATTGTAAGCCAAAGGAGGACCTCGGAAACAGTTGCTTGGTGGCAGTGCTGAGTATTTTTTGATGAGGAAAGTATGAATTACATGATTCTATTACTTATTATTGTTTAAAAAATGTTTTTGAGAGGTAGAGAGAGGAACAATAGATGAGAAAGAAGAATCTCTCATCCACTGGTTCGTTCCCCAAATGCCCCCAATGGTGGGGATTGGGCCAAGGCTGAAGCTGAAGCCAGGAGCAGGAAATGCAATCCAGGTCTCCTGTGTGGGAGCTGGGAACCCAGTTGCTTGAGCTATCACTGGTGCTTCTCACAGAAGCCAGGATCAGCAGCCAGGGCTAGGTATCTAACCCAGGTTCACTGAGGCAGGATATAGACAAATACTCCAAAGGCCTGCCCAAGTCTTTCCTTTTTAAAAGGTTGCTCTTTTCACATTTTTAGTAGTGATTGGTTCAGAGGTACTGATTTATTTTTTTAAGTTCAAACATTTAAAAATTTTATTTATATATTTGAAAGAAACCGATGTACTGATTTTTTTTAACTTCAAACTTCTTAAGTTTTAATTTAATTTTTTATTTATTTGAAAGGCAGAGAGAAGGATTTTCCATCTTCTGTTTTACTTCCCAAATGCCTGCAACAGCCAGACCTGGGCCAGGCCAAAGCCAGGGTTCTAGATCTCAGTCTGTGTCCCAAGCATGAATGGAGCAAGCCAAGTTCTTAAATCATTATCCTACTGCCATTTTCCTACTGCTTCCCAGGGTGTGCGGTAGCAAGAAGCTGGTATCAGAAGCAGAGCTGAGACTCGAACCCAGCTCTGATGTATGATGTGGGTATCCCAAGTGGCACCTTAATTGCTCTGTGAAATACTTGCCTTGGTATTGATTACTATGCTGTCTAGTTCTACATTAGATGTTTTTTTTTTTGACAGGCCGAGTGGATAGTGAGAGAGAGAGACAGAGAGAAAGGAATACCTTTGCCGTTGGTTCACCCTCCAATGGCTGCCGCGGCCGGCGCACCGCGCTGATCCTGGTCTCCCATGGGGTTGAGGGCCCAAGTACTTGGGCCATCCTCCACTGCACTCCCTGGCCACAGCAGAGAGCTGGCCTGGAAGGGGGGCAACCGGGACAGAATCCGGCGCCCCGACCGGGACTAGAACCCGGTGTGCCGGTGCCGCTAGGCGGAGGATTAGCCTGTTGAGCCACGGCGCCAGCCACTATGCTGTCTTTAGTGTGAGATGCTCATGAAGATGCTGATAGTGACAGAAGGGCACTCACTTGGATGAGATGTGGCCAGGTGATAAGAAGTGGGTAAGAGGGAAGTGAAACTCCAGCACACACAGTACCCGGTATCTTCAATCCTTTGTTCTTGTAAAGCTGCTTTGTATGTGATAAACAACAGCAGATCAGTTCAGTAGTTAGAGTGGACAATCACCTTATTCTTTTCTTGTTTTGTGCAGCACTCTTGTTTTAGCTTTCGTAAACTCTGGGCTTTCACCGGACCAGGATTTCTCATGAGCATTGCCTACCTGGATCCAGGAAACATCGAATCTGATTTGCAGTCTGGAGCAGTGGCTGGGTTTAAGGTGAACATTTGGTCTTTTTTTTTTTTTTTTTTTTTTTTGGACAGGCAGAGTTAGACAGTGAGAGAAAGACAGAGAGAAAAGTCTTCCTTTTTTCTGTTGGTTCGCCCCCCAGATGGCCGCTTGGCTGGTGTGCTACAGCCAGCGCGCTGCGCCGATCCAAAGCCAGGAGCCAGGTGCTTCCTCCTGGTCTTCCATGCAGGTGCAAGGCCCAAGGACTTGGGCCATCCTCCACTGCCTTCCTGGGCCACAGCAGAGAGCTGGACTGGAAGAGGAGCAACCGGGACTAGAACCTGGGGTGCCGGCGCTACAGGCAGAGGATTAGCCAAGTGAGCTGTGGTGCCGGCTGAACATTTGGTCTTGACCCTGCTTCCCCTGTCCCCTTTAAAAAAAGATTTTTTAAAAATTATTTGAGAGGCAAAGAGAGACAGTTACAGAGACCTCTGTTTTGCTGGCTCACTACAAAATGCCTGCAAAGCTGGGACTGGGCCAGGACAAAGCTGGGAACTGAGAACTTAATGTAAGTCTCCCACGTAGGTGGCAGGGACTCAAATTCTCAAGTCATTGCCTGCTACCTCCCAGGATGTACTCAGGAGGAAGATAGAATCAAGAGTAGAGCTGAAACTTGAACCCAGGCTTTCTAATATGGAACATGGACATCTTAACCAGCATCCTGACTACTAGGCTAAAATGCCTACCCTCTTTCATTTTAAAAAAATAAAAGTTTATATTTATTTGAAAGGCAGAGTGACAGAGAGAAGGGGTGCTGAGGATACCTTCCATCTGCTGGTTTATTCCCAAAATGGCCGCAGCTGCTGGGTCTGGAATAGGTTGAAGCCAGGAGCCAATAACTCTATTCTGGTCTTCCATGTGCAGAGCCTAATACAGAACTCAGGTCATTCGATTCTTGACCTGAGCTCTTTCTTACACACAGTTTCCCTGTCTTGCCAAGCAGCCAGACTAGAAAACCCAGTTGTCTAACGAGTGTTGTGTGGGATTTTGGTCTTTGTAGTTGCTCTGGGTCCTTCTGTTGGCCACCATTGTGGGGCTGCTGCTCCAGCGCCTTGCTGCTAGACTGGGAGTGGTCACTGGGCTGCATCTTGCTGAAGTGTGTCATCGTCACTATCCCAAGGTGAGCATCAGACTGTCCTTTGTGTCTCATCCACATCAGATGAACCTGTGGGTCTGAAAATATGTGGTGGTCCCATGTATACTGAAACAGTAGAGGACTTGAGGGGCAGTGGTCCAGAAGAATTGGAATAGCAAGTGGAATTCAGCAGTCCTTCTTGCTGCCAAACTGTTTACCCTCGTGTAGAATCTAACCTGAGATTCCTTCCCTGGCCCCCCGCCCCCCGATTTCCTGAGAGAAATTCTGTTTTAGTAAGCATTTACCATTCACTTTACCTTCTGGCGTCTAGCAGTGCCCAATCCCAGGGTTGGGAATGATTGCTCTCTCCAGGCCCTTTGCTTTTGTACTTCCACGTTCCTTCATCAGTTTGTATGGTGCAGATCTGCTTTTTTGTTTGACTTTGCCACTTTGACTACAAACTGTGTGTGGCAGGATCTTTGGACTTGCTAATAATTATTTTGTGCTTTACTTTGGTCCTGGGAATTTTAAAATTTACACTGTCCTCTATAGGTTCCTTCTGGACATTTTGGCTTTTCTTACTGACAATGGAGGCAGTAACTATGTCTGAAAGACATTTTTGGCTTGGCATCATCTTTAAATAAGATATTGATTTTTCTCTGGTTTGTCCTAGGTTTTTTTTTCCCCCAAAGATTTATCCGTTTATTTATTTGGAAGGCAGAGTTAGAGAGGTATCTTCTAAGCGTTGACCCACTCCCCAAATGACCACAACATCTGGGACTGGGCCAGACTAAAGCTAGGAGCTAGGAGCTGGGAGCTTCATCTGGATCTCCCACATGAGTACAGGGTCCCAAGCACTTGGAGATCCTGTGTTGCTTTCCCAGGCACATCAAGAAGGAACTGAGTTGGAAATAGAGCAGCTGGACTGAAACCAGCCCCAATATGGGATGTGAGCATTTCAGGCGGCTACTTAACCTGCTTTGCCACAATGCTTGGGCCCTGTGGTCCTCACCTGTCTTATTTTCTCGCATTTTTTAAACCTTGGGTAGTATATAATTTCTTCTAGCTTCTTTTTCTTCATGATTTTTTTTAAAATTTATTTATTTGAAAGGCAGAGGCAGAGAGAACGAGGTCTTCCATCCACTGGTTCACTCCCTAGATGGCTGCAAAGGCCGGAGCTGCACCAATCAGGAGCCAGGAGGTTCTTCCGGGTCTCCCACATGGATGCAGGGGCCCAAGGACTTGGGCCATCTTCTACTGCTTTACCCAGGCCACAGCAGAGAGCTAGATCGGAAGTGGAGCAGCCAGGACTCGAACCAGCACCTATATGGGATACTGGCACTGCAGGCGGTGGCTTTACCTGCTACACCACAGCGCCAGTCCCTCACGAATTAAGAGATTTTGTTTGTTTTTGGTTTGTGTGTGTTTAAAGAAATGGTTTGGATGTTGGTGTAAAGGTTTTTTTTTAAATTTTTATTCTTTTTTGCTTTAGTGCGCTAGCATTATCTAAAATTGTCTTCCAGCTGCATAATTTCCTACTTACTCTGTGCTACCCATTTCTAACTCTTTTACCCTGAGTCCTTTTTTGCCTATGATTCTTTTTCACTTGCTTGTGTAGTGTTACTGCATTCATGATGCCCCAGCCTTTTCATGCTTGCTTGTCTTCTCAGCTGTGCTCAGGGTAGAAGTTTTCTTCCACAGTCATTTCCTCTTCTCTATTGACACCCGTTTTGACCATGTTTGCTTATTTAGTCCCCCTTAAAACTTTTAGGATTGCATTTAGGCAGAAAATGAGGTCAAAATTAGTGAGTGGAAATTCCATTCCTCTCTTGAATGAAAGGGAAGGGGAAAAACGTAAGGCTGGTTACTGTGCTGACCTGCTCCATGGAGTCACTCCTTCTCCATCTGGAGCCCCAGTGCAGGGTTGGACCTAGGTGGGTTGAGTTCTCGTAATTCATCTCTAGTATTGAGGCTCAGAGAAGCCTGCTTATGAATCAGGGACAGGATATGAATTCCAGACTACACAATCTGAAACTTGTTTTACTGATGTTTGTTATTTAGGTCCCACGGATCATCCTGTGGCTGATGGTGGAGTTGGCTATCATTGGCTCAGATATGCAAGAAGTCATTGGCTCAGCCATTGCCATCAATCTCCTGTCTATAGGAAGGTGAGGGGATTTTCCTCCAGAAAATACTCAGTGTTTTTCTGAATTTTAAGGCAAATATGAAAACAAAAACCCAATTCATGTTACTTTTCAAAATTCAACTCAAGTATTATTTTCTCTGTGAAACATTTCTGGAAGCATCCTCCTCTCCCTGGGCAGATGAGGCTCTACCTCTTATTTCTATGGTGGGTTATACATATCTCTATTATAGAGTTTATGGCATTTTGTATTATAATTTCTTCTTCTATGTTAGTTTATCCCACTACACAGTGAGCTACTTGAAGGTATGAGCCATGCTTTTCAGCTTTGTATATTGAAAATCTGACATAGCAGACTTTCAATTAATGTTTGAATGAATGTAATTGAATTGATGCTGTGATGCTAAACTATCCAAGACCTGCCTGGTTTCCTGGCACGTTCTCTCCCCTCCCAGGTCTTAGTTTCTACAAATGTTCCTTGTCTGGTGAACTTTTGGGAAGAAATTATTTTTTAATGTTTATTTCCTTTTCTTTAATCTCCATTTCTTATTTCTGATCTAGGGTTCCTTTATGGGGTGGAGTTCTGATCACCATTGCAGATACCTTTGTGTTTCTCTTTCTGGACAAATATGGTAAGGAGAGTGAGATTGGCGGGGTCCGTCAGAGCAGCTGCTTTCCATCATGTGGCCCATGGGGAAGTCTGCTGTCTGTGAGCTCATGGTCACATGTTCCCTTTAGGTCTGCGGAAACTGGAAGCCTTTTTTGGCTTTCTCATCACTCTTATGGCTCTCACATTTGGATACGAGGCAAGTGTTTAGCCTTTCACTATAGAGACAGTAATAATACTAGGATGGCTTGATTGTATTTCATGTTATCAACAAAAACTCATTGGGTCCTGGGCCAGTGTTGAAGGAATCTGATCTGTGGTCTAGATTTGTGCAGGAAAGACTACAGGAGCCCCTAGGTCAGAGGTGACTGCACTTTCTAGGGTTTTCTACACTAGACTCCCTGGTCCCACCTGTGTTGAGCATCTTGACAGCAGAGTAACCTTGGAGGGGGTTAGTGAGGGAGCTGCAGAGGTGTTCTTGACTCTTACCTTAACATGGTTCTGGTTTTGCTCATCCTGGTTTACATTACTTGCTGCTTGAATTTTCCCTTTATTAAAGTAATTGAATTACAGGGGGGTATACTGGATATTTCCTATTTTATGCACCAACCCACACTGTCTTAGGAATCAGTACCATTATTTTGCAGTAATAGCAAATTTTATTTACTTATTTATTTATTTATTAGAGAGAGAGAGAGAGAGATTGATCTTTCATCTGCTGGTTCACTCCCCAGATGGCCATAATGGCTGAGGCTAGGTCAGGCTGAAGCCAGGAGCCAGGAGCTTCTTAGAGTCTCCCATGTGGGTACAGGGGCCCCAGGATCTGGGCCATCTTCTGCTGCCTTCCCAGGTGTATCAACTGGGAGCTGAACTGGGGCCCATATGGGATACCAGCATCTCAGGCGTCAGCCTTTTTTGCTATGCCAGAATGCAGACCCCCTCGTAATAGCACCCATCTATGTCCAGTTGTTACAGACTTCATTTTGCTTAGAAGTCTGGCCACACTTTAAAAAATATATCAAACTGTGGGTAGACTGTGTGTCTTGACCTAAACCAAGGTTTCCAAGAGAAATGCCAAACCATGGAAAAATGTATGAGAATTGTTTGTTTATAGGTCTCACTACACACTAGTGGCAAACATTGGTGATTCTTGCATGAATATAGGTGAACATCAATATGATAAATGTGGATAATCAAAAATTGATTCTGTACTCTTAGGTTGCCTCAAGGGAATTAGTGCACAGTTGGTAACCATAAGACCCATAACAACTACTTCACAAGGGGAATTTAAAAAGTTCATAGAAAATGGAATTAAAAGAGCAATTTTTTGAATGCTGAAAAATTTTGAAATCTGTACAAATGAAAGTCTTCAAAAAATTTGTAGAAAATGCATATTATGAAAAAATTGATTTCAATAATGTTTTGTATCAAAATAAACGTATTGTTTTAAAATATTTTATTTTTTACTTGAAGACAGACGGAGACAGATATGCAGAGAGAGGTCTTTTCATCCACTGGGTCACTCCCCAAATGTTTGAAATAGTTGGGGCTGGGCCAGGCCAAAGCTAGGAGCTCAGAAGTCAATTCAAGTTTCCCACATGCGTGGAAGAGACCCAACGGCTTGAGCCATCACCTACTGTTTTCCAGCCAAGAACTGAAACCCAGGCACTCTGGTATGGGATGCGGGCATGCCAAATGTCATCTGAAATGTTGCACCAAATGCCCACTCCAAGTTTATCTTTTAATTCCATTTTTTGAAGTATCTGTATATTTCTTTAGGCTATTAATTATATTATGTATACATCTGTTTTGTGTATTTATAAGAAGATGTAAAATACTTGAATACTCTAGTCCTGAACTCTCTGACCCCTGGCAGTAAGCCCGTCATGTTGCTTGTTTTTTTGATGATTCTGCATTCTTCATTATCCTAGGTGTTATTGTAGGTGTTGCAGAGGAAGGAGTTGTAAGGAGTAAAGGATGTTGAGTGTTGCCTAGTACTGTGTTACTCTCCATCATGTTTCAGTAAAGGCTAATCATTGTCCTGTTGGTATGTAGTATGTTACAGTGAGACCCAGCCAGAGCCAAGTACTCAGGGGCATGTTCGTGCCATCCTGTTCAGGCTGTCGCACCCCACAGATTGAGCAGGCTGTGGGCATCGTGGGAGCTGTCATCATGCCACACAACATGTACTTGCATTCTGCATTAGTCAAGGTGAGCAAGGCCTGTATCTCAGTGGCCTCCTGGAGAGTTCACAAGAGCTTTGCTTTTTTTTGTTTTTTAATAATTCAGTTATTTGAAAGGTAGAGTTACAGAGATGCAGAGGCAGAGAGAGAGAGGTCTTTCTTCTGCTGGTTCACTCCCCAGATGGCTGCAACAGTCAGAGCTGCGCCAATCCAAAGCCAGGAGCCAGGAGCTTCTTCCGGGTCTCCCACGTGGATGTAGGGACCCAAGGACTTGGGCCATCTTCTACTGCTTTCCCAGGCCATAGCAGAGAGCTGGATGGGAAGTGGAGCAGCCGGGACTAGAACCAGCACCCATATGGATTGCTGGCACTGTAGGCAGCAGCTTTACCTGTTATGCCACAGCACTGACCCTGGGATCTTCACTTCAACTGCAGAGGACACAAGCTTAGTTTACAACCATTAGAACCCCAAGGGAGCAAGACATTTCCAAGCTGCACATTCATAAATTCTATATGCTTAGGCACTGTTTTTAGTCACCAAATTGCTGAGAGATTACTGACACCACAGAGAAGCTGGGACTAAGGTTTTTCATAAAAAGCTGAAAGTGAACCAAACCTCTTATGTTTCAATCTAAGGAGCCCAATTGGCCTTGGAGAGGTCAAGAGTGAAGGATGTTAAGCAGTCTTTTATCAATTAGTTTTCATTATTTAAAACTGTTTAACTGAGAGGCATGGAGGCTGATAGATCTTCCAATTTCTGGTTCACTCTCCAAATTCCTGAAACAGCTGGGGCTGGCTCAGGCTGAAGCCAGGAGCATGGAACTCATTCAAGATCTCCCATTTGGGTAGCAGGAACCCAAGTACTTGATCCACCATGTGCTGTCTCCCAGAATGCACATTAGCAAGAAGCTGCATCAGAAGCAGAGTTGGGGCTTGAACCTAGGGACTCCAATATGGGAATGTGTGTGTCCCAGTGGCATCTTTGCTGCCCCTACCAGTTAGCCTTACATCATATTTTCTGAGATATTTCAGAGATCCATATTGTGATTTGGGTTATGCACTGCTTAAGGTCAAGTAGTTTTTGTAGGTCAGTGGTCTTTCCAACAGTAACAACTGAGAGATCAGTAGTTATTTTGTCACTGTTGCCCCTTTGTGGAATGTCAGTGCTATCAGAGGGGATGAAGTCCTTACTTGCTGAATGAGTGAGATATGTTGCATCTCTCACTTTTCAACTGGTCAATTATTTGCTCTCTGAATGCCTTAGGTAACTTGAAACGCCTGAAATGTTAGGAAAGTTTGTTCCAATCCAACTGATCAAGAAATGACTGCTACTGTTGTCTCTCTAGTCTAGACAGGTGAACCGAGCCAATAAGCAGGAAGTTCGAGAAGCCAATAAGTACTTTTTCGTTGAATCCTGCATTGCTCTCTTTGTTTCCTTCATCATCAACGTTTTTGTCGTCTCGGTCTTTGCTGAAGCGTTTTTTGAGAAAACCAACCAGCAGGTGGTGAGTAAGACAGGGTCATGGTGGTGGTGAATGTGAGGGTGAAATGGTGACTGGAATGAGACAGGAAAACACAGCAGTGACTTGGAGCCCAGGGAAGATAAATCTGTAGCTTCAGTGATGCCCTGCAACATCACTGCGCAGGCAGACTCGGTGGTCTGGGGTCTGACCAAACCTAGACTTATCTTCCTCAGCTTGGGCTGATGAAGGAGCTTGCCTCACCCCAGGATTGCATCATGCTGTTGTGTTGGTGGCCACACATCTCTCTGGCGCTTTGTCATCCCTTTTTGTTGCTCGCTTGTCAGCTTCTGCCTGCCTGCCTGCCTGCTTGCCAGTCCTCCCATTTGATAGCAGTTGGGAGCTGTCTACAGAAAACAGGAACTGTGACCAGCACAGACGTGTTGGGCCAGTTTCACTCCTGAGTCCTCTTGGTGCAGGTTGCCTGTGTAGGTTTGCTCACCACCTGTTGCCCATCTCCTGGCTCTGCTTTGAACCAGCTCTCTGTGGTTATTTCCTCATGCTTCTTAGAGGCTTCTGCTCCTGTCACCTTTCAAAGTGCACCCACGCATGTGCACTCTAACTCTGTAAAGAGTTTGGGTATGTGCGTTAGGAAGATTTTGGAAGCTGATCACAAGCAACATGGCTGCTAGTCTCCACCATCAGCACGACCTGCACCAGCGTTTTCCCTGCAGATGACTTGTGTGTGATCTGAAGGAGAGCTCTAGTTGCCTGTGCCTAGCTTCTCAGATAAAAGTTCTCCTAAACTGTTTTGTGTTCTAGGTTGATGTGTGTAGAAATAGCAGCAGTCCCTACACTGGCCTCTTTCCTGAAGATAATTCAACACTGGCAGTGGACATCTACAAAGGGGTGAGTGTGCTCAGATCTATGTGTTGCCTCCTGAATGTGTTCTTAGCATATCATCTGGTCTGTTTTGTGAGTTCACTTAGGTATGAGCATGTCTTCTCTGGAGTGGTCTGTATTTCAGAGGGCCTGATGCCAGTCAAGCATCTTGCATTACATGGGAAGGAACAGAGGCTTATTAAAATGTGTTCTTAGTAAAGAGTAAAAATGGGGTATGTCAGTGCTTTTATGCTGGTTACACTGTAGCCCTCAAAGAGTAGAATATATAATAGGATATTTCAAGAGTTTACCTGACCGTTCCCTGTATTTCTACCACCATTTTCTAGAAGAGTGTATTAAGAAATATAATTGTGGTACTAGACTTTTTTAAGTTTTATTTATTTATTTGAAAGAGTTACACAGAGAGAAGGAGAGGCAGAGAGAGAGGGAGAGGTCTTCCATCTGCTGGTTCACTCCCCAATTGGCCACAATGGCTGTAGCTGTGCCAATCTGAAGCCACGAGCTTCTCTTGGGTCTCCCATGCAGGTACAGGGGCCCAAAGACTTGGGCCATCTTCTAGTGCTTTCCCAGGCCATAACAGAGAGCTGGATCAGAAGTGGAGCAGCTGGGACTCGAACCTACGCCCATATGGGATGCCAGCACTGCAGGTGGCAGCTTTACCTGCTACACCACAGCGCCAGCCCCATTAAACTCTTCCATTTTAAAATTATTTCAGATAGAAGTTGCAGGTGAAGACTTTAGTACCTTGGAGAAGAGAAAGGACAAGGCTGAAGGATAAGGGAGCGTCCAGGGGAGTTGAGATTGAAAGCCTCTAGAATGAAATCAGGATCTGAGCCTGGCGTGGGCCCATGCCCAGCACCTACTTGTTGTAGGTGGTGCTTAGTGGAAGAGTGGAAGGATTGCCACAGAGAAAGGCTGTCTGGGTGTTGTCTGAGCAGATCATTGACACGAGCCTGTCATTCTCCCTTGCCTCTCCCAGGGCGTTGTGCTGGGCTGTTACTTCGGGCCTGCCACACTGTACATCTGGGCCGTGGGGATCCTGGCTGCAGGACAGAGCTCCACCATGACTGGAACCTATTCTGGCCAGTTTGTCATGGAGGTACGTGGAGGATATGATCCTTCTTCATTTTTGGAAATTGTTATTTATTTAATTTATTTGACGAGCAGAGCAGGAAAGAGAGACTGATACAGAGATTTCTCATCTGTTGGTTGACTAACCAGTGTCCATAGCAGGTGGGACTGTGCCAGACTGAAGCCAAGATCCAGGCACTTAATCCAGGTCTCCTACCTGGGTGGCAGGGATCGAACTACTTGAGCCATCACAGTGCCTCCCATGATGTTTGTTAGCAGGAAGCTGAAATTGGTGGTAGAGCCATGACTTGCACCAAGATACTGATACGGGATGCAGGTGTCCCAAGCTGTGTCTTACTCACTGTGTTACATACCTGCCCCAGATGAGACTTTCTACTCCCATGCTTCCAAGAGTCTCTCCTGAGCCTCCCCAGACCTTTTTCTTTCTCCTGTTCCAGATTTCATCCTGCTCCTGTGCTTTCTTGCAGGGATTCCTGAATCTCAAATGGTCACGCTTTGCCCGAGTGATTCTGACACGCTCAATTGCTATCATCCCCACTCTGCTTGTATCTGTCTTCCAAGATGTAGAACATTTAACAGGGATGAATGACTTCCTGAATGTTCTGCAGAGCCTACAGGTAACAAGGGAGCTGGAGCATTATGTACTGCCCTTGGGTGCCAGACCTGCTGCTGGGTGCTTAGGGGGAAGTTGAGAGGAAGAAGGGAGCACAGCCTTGGTGTGTGGTGAATGTGCACGGAGTCCCCAGGATCCAGAGGCCTTTTAGAAATGCTATGGTTTTTTAAGTTTGTTATAGGGAATATGAGCTATACTTACATGTTGTACAAAATGTGGTTCATTAATCCAGCAAGCAGTATGTGAATATATAGGACACTGTGGTAGGTCCTGTGAAGGTTAGTAAGACAAGTCAGATATAAGTATTTGTAGACACAGACACTTAGATCATGAATATTAGGGAGTTAACAACAGCTCTACCTGCTTCAACTTAATGCTTGAAAATGTGGGGATGAGAAGAGGAGTAGATAAGACAAGGTTTAGTTTCCAGTTTGTTAACTGCGCTGGTCTCTGGGGTCAATACACAGCCCCCCAGAAGCCCCATATGACCTTACTCTTTTTTTCCAGCTCCCCTTTGCTCTCATACCTATCCTCACGTTCACAAGTTTGCGACCCGTGATGAATGATTTTGCCAATGGAATGTGAGTACACTTTTCTTAGTTCCCCAAAGGGGTGCTGCTGTGTGTGGGAAGGGTATTTTCATCCCAAGGTCCAGTTTGAAATGAATCATGTGGGGAACTGTATGTGATGGGAGAGGATTGCCAGCTGCTTCCTCTTTGTGCTGCAGACTGGAGATGGAATGCAGCTGAGGAGGACAAAGCACATTTTGTATGTCTGGGGAAAATGTTCAGAGTGTAGACTCCAGTGCATCAACCTCAGCTGTCTAAGTTTGAAGCATTTTAAATTCTGTGTTAAGTGATCTTAATCAGAAAGTTATAAGCTAATAATTTTCATGTATACTTTTCAAGGGTGTGGTATTTGAAATGATTTACTACATTTTCAAGGACACTAGTGAAATGGCTTGTTTATACAGCTTGCTGTATTTCAAGGACTTAAATATTAAATATCTGATGGTATTTCTTCCCCCTCTCCTCATGGTTGCCCAAGTTTGACTCCTTAAATCCAATCATGAACAAATTTAGGGCCATTTTACAGTTCATTTTGAAATGCCTGTTAAACTTGTCCTGTTTCCTGTTCTGTCTGTGGCAGGCTGGGCTGTTCACCAGTGATTGTGCTGATTCTTTTACAGAGGCTGGAGGATTGCAGGAGGAATCTTGGTCCTCATCGTTTGTTCCATCAACATGTACTTTGTAGTGGTTTATGTCCGGGAACTAGGGCATGTGGCGTTGTATGTGGTGGCTGCCGTGGTCAGTGTGGCATATCTGGGCTTTGTGTTCTACTTGGTAAGTCCTTTGTGGAGGGGGCAGGGACAGAGGTATCTGAGATGGTGGAGGTGGGGCTGACTGACATTCAGAAATGAGTATATCAGAGTACATAACAGTATCTCTTAGTTATTGAGCTAGTTTGTCCAGAATTGACAAATCAGCTCTTTATATTCATAACCCTAAAACTTCCTTTGGTTTGTATAATTTGTTTTTTCTAAATTTGTCACTTCTATATGGTTTCCATTCTTAATAATTGCCAACAAGAGAATATAGTATGTTGGAGTAACTAAAATAAGGGAAGCAGTATTGTCAGTGGATGGTGGTGGTACAAGATAGAGCTGGAGAAGGGGATTGTTATTAGGGTGGTACACGTGTTGGTTCACAGCCCCCCTCAGCTGTACCACTTACCAGCTCTCTACGTAAATGGTGATAATCTCTTACTGGCTCATTCAAGAGTCATTTAAAACAGCCATCGTTATGAAATAATGATACAAAGTTATTTACACTCAGATTATCTGACTTCTTTTTTAAAGGGTGGGTGTTTGCCCTAGCAGTTAAAATGCTCTTGCCCCTTATCAGAGTACTTGAGTTCCAGTCCTTGTTCCAACTATTTATTCTAGCTCCCTGATAATTACATATCTTGGGAGGCAGCAATGATGGCTTGAGCAGTTGGATGCTTGCCATCCAGGTGAGAGACCTGAATTGTATTTCTGGCTCTTGGTTTTGGCCTTGGCCTAGCCTCGGCTGCTACTGTCATTTGAGGAGGGACACAGCTGATGAGAGCTTTTTCTCTATCTCTCTCTCTTCTTAAATAAAAATAGTACTTAAATTTGCTTTAAATGTAGAGTAAATTACATAGAAATGATAATGGTTGTCTTCAGAAGATGAGATTATGGATGTCTTCTCTTCTCTACATCTTTTTTTTTTTTCCAGGCAGAGTTAGAGAGAGACAGAGAGAAAGAAAGGTCTTCCTTTTTCCATTGGTTCACCCCCCAAGTGGCCACTGCAGCCGGCGCGCTGCACTGATCCGAAGCCAGGAGCCAGGTGCTTCCTCCTGGTCTCCCATGCAGGTGTAGGGCCCAAGCACTTGGGCCATCCTCCACTGCACTCCCTGGCCACAGCAGAGAGCTGGCCTGGAAGAGGAGCAACCGGGACAGAATTGGGCACCCCAACCGGGACTAGAACCCCGGGTGCCGGCGCTGCAGGTGGAGAATTAGCCTAGTGAGCCTCGGTGCCGGCCTCTTCTCTGCATCTTTAATGGTGCTTGTATCAATGAGAAACAGGTTACACCAACAGTAACAGTAAGTGCTGCTGTTGATCTCCAGGCAACTTACTAGTCCCCATGCCAGGGTTTGCCACAGGTTAGCTAATGCAACTGGTACAGCCTGCTGAGCTGCTCTGTCAATACCTGCTAAGAAACTAAATAGCAGTAACCACTCTACAATCAGCCCTCATCTCTACAAATGTCTTCAGCAGTTTCACTAGTATCAGGTGACTAGACATATTGGCACTTTCATGTGGCCGGCGCCGTGGCTCACTTGGTTAATCCTCTGCCTACTGCGCTGGCATCCCATATGGGCGGGCACCAGTTTCTAGTCCCGGTTGCTCCTCTTCCAGTCCAGTTCTCTGCTGTGGCCCGGGAGGGCAGTGGAGGATGGCCCAGCTGCTTGGGCCCTGCACCCACATGGGAGACCAGGAAGAAGCATCTGGCTCCTGGCTTTGGATTGGTGCAGCGCTGGCTGCACTGGCCATTTGGGGAGTGAACCAATGGAAGGAAGACCTTTCTCTCTATCTCTCTCTCTCTCACTGTCTAACAACTCTACCTGTCAAAAAAAAAAAAAAAAAAAAAGACATATTGGCACTTTCATAACCAACTTGCATAAAGGAAAGATTCTCCTAGCTTTTACAGTCAATTTTCAAACAATTCTTGTCAGGAAGGGAGCAGGTTCACACTGGAGTGTGTGTATGAGCAGTCGTGGTGGGGAGAAGGCTCTCTGAAGAGCTGGGTGAGTGATGACCACATTTGTCTTTCAGGGTTGGCAGTGTTTGATTGCACTGGGCATGTCCTTCCTGGACTGTGGGCACACGGTAAGCATCTCTAAAACCTTGCTGACCGAAGACGCCAACAGTGGCTACACTAAGTAAACACTGGATCAGTCTGTCTTCTGCAGGTAGCCATCAGAGCCAGTGTGTTTCTATGGTTTACTGTGTGAACATAGACAAAAGTATGTGCTATTGCACAGGCTGCATTTAGGACCCAAAGTTGGTTGGAAATGACTCTGTTCCATATATGTGTGATGGCATTCTTTTTTATCTTCATGACCTCCTAACCTAGAAAGTGCATCAGGTAGGATCTTTGAGAAGTTGACTTTTGCTGCTGTCTTCCCAACACTAAACTCTGAAGTGTCTGCCCAAGGACTAGCCTGTGTTATCCTATTGATAGAAAATTCTCTGTGCATGATTTTTGACCAGGGTAAATGTTTAAAAAGAATTGGGAGATGCAATACATTTTTATAATGCAAACTACAGATGGATATGCAAATTTTGCTTATCTTGACAATGATTTTAAATGGCTATATACTTTTTTATACATACTCTTTAAATTATTTTAATTATTAAAAGCTTCAACTGGACTTGTTTGAAAAGAGATACCTCTGTCAGGCTCAGCATGGTATTTCTTGGTTAAGCTGAGAGACGTTGAGAAAGTATGATGAAGATGAAAAATGGAAAAACGGTCACACTCGTCTGAGGGGGTGGGTACTGTCACCTCCTGGAGATCCTCCTTAGAGAGGGGAAGATGATCAGGGTTTCCCTGGGAGTCCTGGTTCTGAAAACCTTCATGTCAGTACAGAGCTTCCGCCATGATACCACTCGAGCTCATCAAGTTGTAAAACTTTCTTCCTCCTCCAAGGAGGTGGAGGGGTGATAGAAAAAGATGGTAGCATTAATGATCTGAGAGTGCTGTGAGATTGAGGATAGGCTGAAAGACTCAAGGGGGAGAAGAGCCAGCTGTTGTGTCCCTAAAAGCCACCTCTTACAGAATCGTGTTGCTCTGATGCGTCACTGTGCTTCGTGCCAGGAGGACTCGGAGGCAGTCTCAGGAGCAAAGAAATTTAGCTGTTCCAAAGTTCTTGCTCTCGCAGCTCTCCCTCTGCGAGTCCGTGGGTGTCACTGTGGTTGCGTAGTTGAACTGGGCTGTCTCTAGAGCTGTTCCCTCAGAGGGAAACACTTTGACACCAGATGGTGGAGCTGTGGAGTCAGAGGAAAAGGGTGTCTTCAGCTTGAAGCTGCTGTTCTTACTTCAGCCACTTCAGACATATTTACACGTGGAGCCTGAAACGGTGTGATCACCCCAAAGCAAATCACTTCTGTCTCGTGGAGTTAAGTAATCAAGTCTTTCATATCCAGTGACGTGGCGATGACGCTAGTGGAAATGATGTTGAAGGACTTCCCATTTTTGGAGCTTTCCTTCTGGATATGGCTGATTAGTGTTCTCTGTTCATCTCAATTCTCAAAGGCATTATTCCTGATGTTTTGCACACAAAGCATAGACTGGATGGATAGTCTTTTTATAAAGCATTAAGAGTAAACTGTTCCCCAGCTCATTCATTTTTCTTAGCCCTTCAAGCAATATAGCACAGAATCACCAGTGACCATTCCCCTAACTCTTCTCATAGCTGCTCCTCTTCCCCTATTACCATCATTCCTCTAACCTGGTCCTAAAGGAGCTCTGAAGATACTAGATACTGACATCTTGAACTCTAATTTGGCTGCAGTAGGGGAGACCAAACTGACGAAAACAATTCTTTTTAAAGATGGTACCCTAATGTGTATCAGTCTCAAATTCATAAATGTTTAGGATCCCAGGTAAAAGCCGATAGTATTCTTTTAAAAGTTATATAATATATATATAAATCCAAGTTATATGTGTGTATATATATATGTATATATATATGACTTGGAATGATGAAATATTTCTTCCCAGTTAAATGACATTTTATAATACCACATGTTTAGTATTTTAGTGTTGAAAACACTCCCAAAGGGTATTCTATTGGATCCTCACAGAGGAATAGTGTACTTGAACACTCTGGCTGCAAGAAACAATGTGTAGAAACTTAAGTCATCCAATGCCAGCAGGTGCAGAGTGTTTATGTTGAATGTTTAAGGATGTGCAGTTGTTCTTTATGTAAATTGGTCCTTGTACTCTTTAACTGTGATATGAAAAACTCATGCTGTATACTCAAAATCGAAGGGTGATGTAGAGCCTCAGTTTGGCTGCTGTGAGGTCCTGTTTGTGGTATTAATAGTGGTTACCTTAGTAACCCCATTTAACAGTGTAAAAACATGATTTGTAATTAAAAATCTTTTTACAATCTGGTTTCCTGATTATTTATTTAACCTTGAAAATACTTTGATACACAAATATTGAGACAGAAATGACCACTTAGAATGGTACTAGACCCCACTGCCAGTGATTTTCTCCTAAAAGAGATAAAGAAGTGAGTTTAGTCATCAGAAGGCTTGGATTAATTACAAAGACTGAAACACTGATTTCCGTTTGCTCACTTAGCCAGAGAGTTTTGCTGTAGCCACAGGTCACTTCATTACCATGTTTAAGTGGCCGAGATTGAATCTGCCACTGTTACATAAGCTGAGTGCTTTTCTGTTTCTGAGTCTTGCTTCACCTGTGAAGTAGGCTTTTACATTTTATGCCAGATGCCAAAACACGAGAATTTAAAGAAAGAAACCACATTATTAAGCTTAAAATGAATGAGCATGTTGGCATCTAGATAATAAGTAGAAATACTGGCATTGTTTGTTAAGGAGAGAGGCAAAGCTCAGGCAGGGTAGACTGCCAGCCCTGTCGCAGTGTGTGATGGGCCAATCTAAGTCACCAGCTAATGCGTCCCAAGGGTCCGAAGCTCATTTCCCCTTTGTCTGCTGCAAGCTTTCCCTGCCTGTCCTACAGGAGCTAAATACTGTAAGTAACTCCCTAGAAGTGATTTGTAAGAATGTTCTGCATATTTTCGCTCATTAGGTAGCTCTCTGAAAGTCTAGAAGCAAGTTAGAATGCTTAGCAATTTGAACGGGGTTGGGCATTTGGCTCAGCGGTCAAGATGTCACTTGGGATGCCCACGTCCAGTATTGCAGTTCCCGGGTTCAGGTCCAGGCTCCAGTCTGCATTCTGGCTTCCTGCTAATGCTCAACCTGGGAGGCAACAGTTGATGGCTCAAGTGGCTGGGTCTCTGCCACCCACGTGGGAAACCTGGGTTGAGTTTCAGGCTCCTGGCTTCAGTGGACCTTTGAGGAATGAACCAGCATAAAGAAAACTCTCTCTTTGTCTCTCTGTCTTTTAAATAATAAACAAGAAAAAAGTTAATTAAAAAATATTATTTGAAGATCCTGATTTGAGACTTTTTGACTTTTTTTTAGCTCTGTCCTCTGAAATGCCTTCTGCTCCTTCATTGGTAGAAACAGTGAGTCTACATCTGTCAGCTTCTTAGGGCACCTTAACTCATGAATGTAAAAATGCCGACTACTACCATGCCCTAGTCCTGGTCTGAGCACTTGCATTATGTTATTTAGTCCTTATAAGAACAAGATGATCAGCCTCCATATAGATGAGCAACCGGAAGGCCTGCATCACATTGCTAATCAATGAGCATTTGAGCTTAAGCAGCTCAGTTCCTGATTCCAGATTTTCATCCCCAAACCGTCCTTTATTTGATTCCCAAACCACCCTTGCTAGAGTGACACACCAAGCTTTGTTAGTTAGCAGCACCAGGACCATCAACATGTGGAAGCATTGGCTTGATACTCTTAAGTTAGTACTATTAGCTAAGACGTTGCCAACTGGTAGGAATTTGACCTGTGCTGAATTGACAAAAGTAAATTTGACACCTTTTGGTAGGTGCAAAGAGAATGGGCAAGGTCCTTTAGGGTCCTACCCCAGCAACAGTTAAGAACTCAAGCAGTTTCCTCATTGACATTACCCATCTGTCCCTGCGTTTCAGACTATTTCTGCACCACTTAGCACCATTTCTCAAAGTGTCAGAACAGCAAGACAAACTGCTCTAATGAAGGGACTGTCTCAACTGAGTCATCTAAATGAAACATTGTGAGGGGATCATGTGACTCATAATGCAACCCTTGCTTCCTATTTAATGAGGATGCCCACCAACTTTGCTTACTTGGCAAAGGGCTTTAACAAATTGTCAGTGTGTCTGGCAAGTGTTGTTATTCATGAGAGCCTGGGATGTAAGACCCTAAAGTGAATAAGCAAGCAGCAGTCTGAAGAACTGTCTTTCTGTCTTAGAGGCAGTGTGAATCAGTATTTTCCCAGTCCATTAGTTGGGCACTGATTGGTCCCTGTTATTTTGACAGTCATCCCAAAAAGCCCGTGGGGTCCAGTTTGTGATGTGTTAAAAAATATGCATTGAAGATTGGCATGAGATTGTGCTTGGGGTTTTCAAATGTAGCAATTATTCTAATTTTGCAGATAAGTAGAATAAGGCTACAAAGGGATCCAGGACATGCTGAAGACTGTAGGAAGTAGTAGAGACGAGACCTGAACCCAGCCTTGTGCCTTTTCCACTACACTATGGGGTAGTTCCTTTTTGTGGATTTATTATCTGCATTCTACACTAACTTGGAGGTTTTTGTGGTCAAGGGGCAATGACATCCCTAAAGTCTTAGGTAATAACAGTAGGGCTAAAATGATAACTCAGTGATTGTCCCCAGGGAGGGCATTTGGTGAAGTGATTAAGACCCCACTGGGGGAGCAAACATTCAGCGCAGAGATTAAGATGTCTACATCCCGGTGCAGCAGGTTAAGTCACCACTTGCAGTGCTGTCGTGTAATACCAAAGTTTCAGATCAAATCCCAGCTGTTCTGCTTCTGATCCAGCTCCCTGCTAATGTCCCTGGGAAAGCAGCAGAGGATGGCCCAAGTACTTGGGCCTTGCCACCCATGTGGGAGACCAGGATGGGGCTGCTGGCTCCTGGCTCCAGCCTGACCCAGACCTAGCTCTTGTGTCCACTTGAAGAGTGAACCAGCAGATGGAAGATAGATATTTCTCTCCCCCTCGTTCTCTCTTTCTCCCTCTTTCCCTCCTTCTCTCTTGCTTTTTCAAATACATAAATCTTTTTTTTTTTTAAAAAAAGAAGCCTCCATCCCATATCAGAGGATCTTGAGTTAAGTCCTGGCTCTGCTTCCAATTCCAGTTTACTGCTGATGCACTGGGAGGCAGCAGGTGATGGCTCAAGTAATTGGAAGCCATGGAAGACCTGGATTGAGTTCACGGCTCTTGACTTCAGCCTGGCTCTGCCTCAGCTGTTCTGGGCATTTGAGTAATGAACCAGCAAAGATTTCTGTCTCTTCCTTTCAAAAAAATTGTTTTTCAAAAAGAACTTTTTGGGATACCTGCATCCCAAATCAGAGTACCTGGGTTTGAGTCCCTACTGCACTTCCAATTCAGCTTCTTGCAGTACACACCCAGAAGACAGCAGTTCATGGTGCAAGGGTTCCTCCTAGACATGTGGGAGACCCAGGCTGAGTTCTAGCCCCCCACCCCAGACATGTGGGAGACTGAGTTCTAGGCCTCTGGCTCCAGTTGGGCCGGTCCTTGCCGTTCCAGGAGATTGGGTGGTGAACCAGCCAGTGCAAGATTTCTTTCTGTCACTCTATCTTTGCCTTCAAGATTTAAAAAAAATTTTTTTAAAAATTAGACATCAGTTTTTTAAAATTTTTCCTGGTCATTGTCAGGGGAAAGAAAAAAATATAAAAAGAAATACAGTGTTTAAGATCCCAACACAAACCATCTGGATTCACTTATCCAGGAATAGGGTCTGGAAAAGTGTTTTAAAAAGCAAGTGAGATATGATACTGATTCAGCTTGGCAAATATTTGAGACCCACAGGTCGTCCTCTCAGTCAGCACATGCTATTTTATGTTTTTGTGTTTTCACAAAAAGCCCTTTGCTTAGGTGCCAAAGGATCATGGGGTCAGGTTTATAGGGCTCAGGACTTAGGCCATTTGAAATTTGATTCCTGCTATACACAGAGGTAAAACACAAGAGCACTCATGGCAAGTTTCTTCCTGTTACCCTGATCTGAATACCCATCACAAGGCGGGGCTTGTCCCAAGAATTGTCAGAGTGCTAATTGGGGGAGGGCAGTCCTAGACTGCTCACAGGTATTATTTGAAGTATCAGGAACCACTCATGTATCTATCTAAGTCAGTTCTTTTTTGAAATAGAAATCCGAAAAGGCCTAAAATGATATTCTAATTTTAATTACGTAAGTGCCAACTTCAGTATTTAAGTACTTGAACATCAGTCTAACCTTGTTCCATCTTTTTGTCCTTAGTACCACCTGGGGTTGACTGGCCAGCCTGAACTCTACCTCTTGAACACCGTGGATGCTGACTCGCTTGTATCCAGATGACAACAGCTTAACAGAGCATATAAGACCGCTTTCTCTAAGTCCGTTCTGTGCCAAGGGCCCTGTTAAAATATCTCTGTTAGTTCAGAGGTGAGTTTTGTTCAGAAGTTTTGAACAAAAGGCAAAGCTTTCCTCACAGGAAGGGTGTTGAAAACAGACAGTGTAAGTGTAGGTCAGAGACCACGCACCTCATAACAGTCACACAGACCAGTTAAGAAATTGGCCATTGTAATGGCCACACACCCCTATGGGTTTGTGTCTTGACTTCTGGGTTTTGAAAAATATATATGTCTATTTATTTATCTAAGCCTGAACATACCAGTTTGGGTAGTTTTTAAGTTTATATAAGACAAAAATCTTTTTTATTTTTTTAAAGAGTATTTTCAGGTAAATCAAATATTTGGATCACAAGTGAAAAAGTGAAGTAGTCATATTGTCTTAGCATGAACTTTACTGTGCCAGATAAATTTCATTTCAATTTTAATCAGCCAGATTACAGTCTTGGTATCCACTGATATTAGCACATTTATTCCCAAAGAAAATGTTTCTTCTATTTGGAAATCATACTTAACCCTGGTTATCACCCTGCTTTAATTATTATTGTATTTGTTGTTGCTTATCTTGAAATGTCTTCTAGTTATTAAACAGGGATGTAATGACAGGATTTGCCAAAGCTCTTAGTACATAGTTACAGAGTGCGGGCACTGCACTTTCACCGGTGATGAATTGTGCACACGGCATTGTAACTCAGCCCACTCTGGCATTCAAGTTTCAGAAGGAAAAAGAAGAAACTTGTGGCTTGTAACTTTGTATGTCCTCACAAAAGATAATGGAAGTACTAATCTTATTTCTACTGTTTGTTAATCCCATGATGTCTTGTCTTTCCAGTTTTCTCAGTAATACTCCAAACATTCCCAAGGACAAAAGTCTTATTTCTGGGAATGACTAATATTTATATTGTTGAGTCTCCTAGGAAATGCTAAGCATTTCCCTTCAGGTATTAGTACAAGTAATTTGAGGGTAATATAGACTGGGACTTACTAGTTTAGTCCACATATCACAAACTGCCTACATTAGGTTATAGATTTCTTTTGACCTCTCTTCTTAACCAGTTGTTTTTTCCTCTTAAAATTTGTATAATAAAGTCCATATGTAAAAATTAAAAGCTTTATCATAATTGTCTGAGATTCAGAAGATTTGCAACTTACCTCACATTCCTGCACAAAGTGCAGTTGACTGGAACTGAGTGGCAGCTGTCCATTTTCTGTGACATACCCTTCTGGGTGGGGCATGCCATCACATCTCCCCTTTCTTCCTTTTGGCCCCAGAAGTGTTGAGTCTGCAAACCGTGCATCCTTTCTGTGACTTTGAGCATTATTTTTTGTCTTCTAGCATTAAATTGAAATATCTTACCTCTGTGCCTTGAACTTACTGCCTTCTAGAAGGTCTTTTTTTTTTTTTTAAATTCAGACATTAGCTTTATTTATTATGGTTTGGTTCTCTAAATGTCCTCTCTCCCTCCCTCCCTCTCTGCCTCTTATCTCTCCCTTCTTCTCTTTCCTTCTGTTTGAGAGAGAAAGAGGGCTCCAATCTGATAGCTTACTCCCCAAATTCCTGCACTGGCCAGACCTGGGCTATGGCCAAAGCCAGAAATCCAATCTAGGTCTTCCACGTGGGGAGCAGGAACCCAAATACTCGAGCCATTGCTGCTGCCTCTCAGGGTCTGCACCAGCAGGAAGCTGGATTCAGAAGCCGGATTCAGGAAGTGAACCGAGGCACTCTGATGTAGGGCAGTCGGCATCTTAACTGCTAAGCTAATGACCTGCCCCAGGGGATTTTCTGATATGACACTTTAAAGTTCCTTCATTTCGGGGCCGACTCTGGCATAGCAGGTGCTGCGCCTGTATCCTGTATGAGTGCTCGTTTGAGTCCCGGCTGTTCTGCTTCCATTCCAGCTCCCTGCTAAAGTGCCTGGAAAAGCAGCAGAAGATGGCCCAGGTCCTTAGGCCCCTGCACCTGCGTGGGAGACCCGGAGGAAGCTCCTGGCTTTGGATCGGTCTAGCTTCAGCCATTGTGGCTATTTGGAGAGTGAACCAGTGGATGGAAGACCTCTCTCTCCTTGCATTCCCCCCCAACCCCATCTGCCTTTCAAATAAATAAGTAAATTCTTTAAAAAAAAATTTCTCCCATTTCTACTTGATGGGCTCTTGAAAGTTGAGCTAATAAACAACCTTGTAACCCAGGTCTGAGTCCATCAAAATACCTGTCCTGTAATAGAGATTTTTAAAAAGTTATGTGTTGTTTGAAACCCAGAGTGACAGAGAGGAGAGGAGAGAGCACTTCCATCCACTGGTTCACTGTCCAAATAGCCACAACAGCCAGGGCTGGGCTGGGCTGAAGCTAGGAGCCAGGAGCTCCATCTGGGGCCTCCCATGTGGGTAGCAGTATTGAGCCATCAGCTGCTTCCCAGGTGCATTAGCAGTGAGCTGGATCAGAAGTAGAATACCCCCACCTATATGCATCCACCCTTATATGCATTCTTACTGTTTGTCAAACGATTTATAAGAGAGGCAGAGTTACAGAGAGGAGAGAGAGAGAGAGAGAGGTCTTCCATCTGCTGGTTCACTCCCCAAATGGCTGCAATGGCTGGAGCTGGGCCGATCCAGAGCCAGGAGCCTCCTCTGGGTCTCCCGCGTGGGTGCAGGGGCCCAAGGACTTGGGCCATTCTCTGCTGCTTTCCCAGGCCATAGCAGAGAGCTGGATTGAAAGAGGTGTAGCTGGGGTGTGAACTGATGCCCATATGGGATGCTGGCACTGCAGGCTGGGGCACAGCCTACTACACCACAGCGCCGGCCCCAGTAGCCAGGTCTTGAAACTCAAGCCAGCACTCTGATATGGGATGTGGGCCTCCTAAGTGGCAGCCTATCCCATCATACCATAGTGCTGCTCCAATGAAAGAGACTCTTAAAGTGAGTTTCCTTGTTTTAGTTGCTTTGTACACAGATAACAACTCTAGATCAACCAATTAGTTGGATTTTCCTCTCTTCCTAGGAAATTTCATTTACCAGTAATTTCAGTACCAGAGGGGCTGGTGCTGTGGTGCAGTAGGTTAAAGCCCTGGGCTACAGTGCTGGCATCCCATATGGGCGCTGGTTCGAGACCCAGCTACTCCACTTCCGATCCAGCTCTCTGCTATGGCCTAGGAAAGCAGTAGAGGATGGCCCAAGTCTTTGGGCTCCTGCACCCGCGTGGGAGACCCAGAGGAGGCTCCTGGCTCCTGGCTTCAGATTGGCACAGCTCTGGCCATTGCAGTCATTTGGGGAGTGAACTAGCGGATGGAAGACCTCTCTATTTCTCTGCCTCTCCTCTCTGTAGTAGAAGATGGCCCAAGTCCTTGGGCCCCTGCACCAGTGTGGGAGACCCGGAAGAAGCTCCTGGCTCTTGGCTTTGGATCGGCACAGCTCCAACTGCAGTGGCCATCTGGGAGTGAAACAGCAGGTGGAAGGATTGGAAGGCCTCTCTTTCTGTCTCTATCTCTCTGCCTCTCCTTCTCTCTGTAAATCTGACTTTCAAGTAAAATAAATAAATCTTTAAAAGAAAAAAAGAATAACCTGGGGTTCAACACTCTGGAGTCAATTTGTGAAAGGATGCTGTGATAATGGATACCCAGAGTGTAAAACAAACAAATGAATACAGTTAAATTGGGGCTGGCGCCGTGGCGCAGTGGGTTAATCCTCCACCTGCAGTGCCGGCATCCCATATGGGCACAGGTTCAAGTCCTGGCTGCTCCTCTTCTGATTCAGCTCTCTGCTGTGGCCTGGGAAAGCAGTAGAAGATGACCCAGGTGCTTGGGCCCCTGTACCCCTGTGGGAGACCTGGAAGAGACTCCTGGCTCCTGACTTTGGATCGGCTCAGCTCTGGCCATTATGGCCATTTGGGGAGTGAACCAGTGGAAGGAAGACCTTTCTCTCTAACTCTTCCTCTCACAGTCTGTAAAAAAAAAAAAAAAAAAAAAAAAAAAAAAAAAAAAAAATGCAGTTAAATCATTGTTGCTGAGTAGCTATTACCAGATAATGGTGTGTCAGCCTGTTATAAAAGGCAGGCAGAGCAGAGCCAGGCTTGTGCAGTGGTTTAATGAAGTCACCAGGATTACTATAGGCAATGGAAGTAGTCTTCTCAGGTTCAGGCAGAACATCAGGTTGCTAAAGCTTTGTGAACTCAGGTTCTGTATGTTATCTGTGGACAGGGTTCCTACAAAGACCCTCCCACTTGACTGCAGCCAGGTGAGCATCCTGCATACTTGCTAACTTTTCTCCAGCTGTGACTTTACAACTAAATGCAAGCATGGTTTGTGGACTCTCCTACGTGGCTGCCGTTAAATAATCATAAATAGTTTCCATTGCTTTCTTCAGGCAACAAATATTTTACTTTAGTTCTCTCAGAATGAAGATCGCAAGACTGTACACTCTCCTGGATTTTGAAAGAAAATCCAGTTTCTAATTGAACCACTGAATCTACTTTTAACGCTGAGTGTACATTGAGACAGGGGAGTCTTCCCAGTAGCTTGTTTGATTGCGTTTTTGTTTGTTTGTTTGTTTTCCCAGTAGCTGGTTTGATTGACTATCTCTTCACTGCACAGTCAACATGAAGGAGTGACTTGTTTCCATGCCAGCTGTTTTAAATTTCCCTGACCTTCGGGGAACATGCTGGCCCCGGCTGCTCTGGAATACTTCTCTCTCTGGTGGCATAAAGCAGCTGCATCTTCCTTGCCTGTTTTCCAGACAGTACGGTTTAGACCAAAAATGTGTGCCTGTGGACAGCACTACAAGAGCCTCCTAATGGGTACAAATGACAGCTTTTAAAAATAAGAAATTTAGCCACAAGCATATGTATTTTTTTTAACTCATTTTCTTTTTTTAAATTTTTTAAAATTTTTTGACAGGCAGAGTGGACAGTGAGAGAGAGAGACAGAGAGAAAGGTCTTCCTTTACCGTTGGTTCACCCTCCAATGGCCGCCGCGGCCGTCGCGCTGTGGCCAGCACACTGCGCTGATCCAATGGCCGGAGCCAGGTGCTTCTCCTGGTCTCCCATGGGGTGCAGGGCCCAAGTACTTGGGCCATCCTCCACTGCCTTCCCGGGCCACAGCAGAGAGCTGGCCTGGAAGAGGGGCAACAGGGACAGAATCCGGCGCCCCGACCGGGACTAGAACCCAGTGTGCCGGTGCTGCAAGGCAGAAGATTAGCCTAGTGAGACGCGGCGCCGGCCCATACGTATTTCTGTTAACCAATATGGTGTATTTCTGTAAGCAGAGTTACGTGGAAATGAAGTTTTTTTTTTTTAAGATTTTTTTTTAAATTTATTTGAAAGAGTTACACATAGAGGAGAGTCAGAGAGAGAGAGAGGTCTTCCATCCTCTGGCTCATTCCCCATTGGCCACAATGGCCGGAGCTGCGCCGATCTGAAGCCAGGAGCCAGGAGCTTCTTCTGGGTCTCTCACACAGGTGCAGGGGCCGAAGGACCTGGGTCATCCTCCACTGCTTTCCCAGGCCATAGCAGAGAGCTGGATTGGAAGTGGAACATATGGGTCTCGAACCAGTGCCCATATGGGATGCCGGCACTGCAGGCGGTGGCTTAACCCGCTGCACCACAACGCCAGCCCCGAAATAAAGTTTCAAAAGAAAAAAAAATCACTTGTGTCCACGGAGAAAAGTATAGCACATAATACACAATACAGTGGGTTAATATTTAGAGTACAGAGGTACTTTGAGATTTTTCCTTCCTCAAATAAAGCACTGCACTTTCTACTTAGTATAACCCTCCATCAAAGGAAACACCAAGAAAGAAGAAATACCCACTACAAGTCAGCGTAGTATAGCGTGGACAGAATGTTTTTGATTTTATTTTCAGTAACAACTTTTCTTGTTTCTGGTTTTCTTTCCTAGACTCAGAGTCTTTGGGAATAAACTTAGTCAAGGCAGTTATGATGTTAAGAAAGTGTAGAGGGAGAGCGTTTTGGCACAGTGGTTAAGACACCCCTCAGGATGCCCACATCCCATATCTGAGTGCTTAGGTTCAGAATCCAGCTCTGCCACCAGTTCCAGCTTCCTGCTAATGTTCATCCTGGGAGGACGATGGCTCATATGTTTGGGTTCCTGCCACATACACTGGAGATCCATATGGAGTTCCTGGCTCTTGGCTCCCACCAGGCCCAGCCCTAGCAGTATTGGGTATTTGGGGAGTGATCAGTGGATGGGAGATTTCTGCTTGTCTCTCTGCTTTCAAAATAAGTCAATATTTTAAAAATTCGAAAGTATACTTAGTTTGTTAGAATCTTAGTGCATTTCTAGAGAAGTTGAAAGTGACAAATATACTTAATATTTACCTTCTTTGTTTTTTTCTACACTGTTGTAATATATTAACAATCATA